ATATATATATATATATATATATGTATATTTCAGATTTTAATTGTATCAATAATTAAGAATCGTATAATCAAAAAATAAATTTTAAATATTTTCCTGTAAGAAAATATAACCGATCATATACTTTAAGGAAATTGATGTTTTTAACTTTCTTATTTTCTACAACTGATAATTTTATGGAAGAGGATAATGAAATATAAATGTTATATAAGCGTTTTTAAATGTTATACTGAAGTCCGTACACCTCCTTTAGATATTTTTATACCATAACTGCCCGCAATAAAGCTTCATTTTTTAATAATTTTTTTGATATAATTATATATAATTTCATTTTTCATCTAGATGAGATGACATATAAATTACAACACTAAAACGTTAGAAATTTTCTATTCGGCAATTTAATATATTGCTCAATAAACGCTTGTAACAACTGGGCAATTATCGAACTCTCTTTACGAGCAACTATATATAATATATAGTATATAATATATAGTATATCAATAAATTTGCGTAAAAAATACATACGAGGCAGATACTAAATAAATAATTAACTTACGAATCAAATAAATCATTGTAGAGCAAGTACAAGCATAATTACAAAATACTGTCAGGATACAATTACTGATAAATATTAAAAGTTCATGGACGGTTTATTATAGTCTGCGAAAACTGTCACTTGTTTCCTTCAGCACTTTTCAACAGAATAGATACATTGCAAAAAAATATATCTAAGAAAATTCTACATGATTTCTACGAATTAAATTGCTATTATATATCGAATATTTTACAATTGTGAAATAATCAAAAGAAATATTCAAAAGTCAAATTAACCGTAAGCATTGATGTCACGTGTCGCTACACATGCTATTGTCTATGAGTCAATGTCAAACTTGTCAACCTTGCTTTAAGCATAATATGCTTAACTTAATATGCTTTTGTCCCTTTTGAACATAAATCTAAAACTATTCAAATAGAGCAATAATAGTCTTGGAACCAGAAGCTGCAGAGTATGCTCTCCCTAGAAATAAATTATTTCATACGTTTTGATATTCTGAAATTCAGTGAAAAGATTCGAGTTTTAAGTGTATTGAATATTTTGCGACATTCGTTGTTGCCTATTAACTACTTGTTTATTTATTTATTGTTCCAAATCGTTTTGTACAAGATACATCATTCCATAAGACATAGGAACAATCGGAAGCATATTATAAAAAAAAAAAAAAAAAAAAAGTGAGAGGGAGGAGGGAGGGAGAAAGACCCACACCGATACTACATCCTCGTTCTATGAGGTTTTCATTGCAAAAATTACGTGACTCGACCAGATTTTACAAGGCAACTGATCTTTTCTTCTTTCTCCTTGTTCTGTCTTAACGAAATTGTTTATAGATTTTGTACTGTGCAATAGTCTGCGGAATATTCCGTTTCTCAATGAATCAGCCACTTATCATCAACCGCACGTCAACTGCAATAAAGCAGATAACATTATTTGACTTCCCTCAGTCAAATATTACGTGCAAACACTGTCACATCATCTGTCAGACTTTTCAGGAATGCGAGGTAATTATCCTAATTCAACAATCTTGCGCGGAAGAGTCGACGTCTCTTCTCAAATCACATACATACATATATAACATACACACATCACATACACTTTACAGCCGATTAGTGCGTCATAAGCATACTTCACCAGATTCACTATGATATAAAAAGTACCGTTACAAAGGTGAGCTTGTACTGCATTGTCACCGCGAGAAAGCTACCCTGTCGAATTCAGAAGTTCATCAGACCTGTACATGATTGCGAAGCAACGTCTAACTAAATGAGTCAAATGTATAAAAGGATCGTCGCAAAACAGATGTCGTCATAGAAAGAAGTACACGATCTATCATAATGAACGTGGTGGTAATTTCTTAACCGGACAACAGTATAGTGACTGTCTCGAGAGTAGACGTGTCGTCTTCCGTTTGTTGTTGCTGCAAGTCCTGCTGCTGCAGTTGCTGCTGCTGTTGCTCCTGCTGTTGCCGCGCGTTTTGCTTCGCGTGAGTTTTCAAGTGCGAGTTCAACATGGTCTTAGAAGCGAACGATTTCTGACAGCGGGTGCAAGGATATGGCCGGTCGCCCGTGTGACCACGTAGATGCACCACCAATGTGGTCCGCTGCGTAAAGCTCTTGTCGCAGTGGGTACACCGATGAGGTTTCTCGCCTGTGTGCGTACGCCGGTGCACGCTCAGATAGTTCTGAGAGATGAAGCCCTTGCCGCATAAGTCGCAGATGTGCGGTTTTTCGCCAGTATGTTTGCGCAGATGCACCGTGAGATAAGTCTTGCTGGAGACGGACTTGCCGCACACTGGACACACGAACTCATTCTGCGGGCCCGCGTTTCCGTGCGTTTTCATGTGCACCAGCAGCACTTGTCGTCTAGAGAAACGCTTGTTACAGAGCTCGCAATGGTGCTTCTTCTGCGGTGGCACGTAATCCGGCTGATGGAGCTTCGCGTGCAGTCGCAGACCCTGGTGATAGCGAAAAGTCGCGTTGCACACATCGCACTGGAACGGTTTCTCGCGTGCATGCGACATCTGATGTTCCTGACTACTGCGTTTGTTCATGAATAGCTCGCCGCACACCTCGCATTGGTAATTGAAGTCGTGGGACCTATTATGTTCGTCTAGGTTGTCCCTGCACGTGGTCTTGTAATCGCAGATATCGCAAGCGTACCACGTTTCGCTGGGGGACATGTGTACCTTCTGATGCTCCTGCAGCTCCGGCATCGTCGAGAAGCTGCAGCCGCAGTGCTCGCAGACTAATTGCTCGTCCTCCAACCGCTTCACGTCTTCCGTATGAATTGTTTCTAGGTGTATACCTAGCGCCTGCTCGGACACGAAACCGTCGCCGCAGAGCTCGCACTGCACGACCTGGCTCTCGCGATTGAGCACATCCGTCCTCTTCCTTTTGTGCAACGGATCCGTTAACAGTAATCGCGCGTTTCCCTGAACAAAGACGTGCTTGATCTCGCCGGGCCTGCACTGCTGTCCGTCCTCAGGCAGCACCGTGAGTTTTGAGACAAAATATCTGCAAAGAAGAGAGACACAAATGGGAGTCAATCAGTGCACGGTTTCTCCTGTTATCTTTTTCGTTCTCTTATCGATGCCTTACAGGCCTTATGGTAAGCGAATTATTTACAAGGACGATCGGCTGGACACGGCTGTCGGTTGTGTGGAAGTTGGAAGAAGAGGTCAATAAAGCGCCTCACACTTGTGATTTCCAGCATTTCTCTTTATTACGTAGTCACCACTTCTCTGCCTCGACCTTGTTCCTGCCGGTGTCACGTTGCGCTTCAACAATGTTTATTCGCAAGCGAACACCGCGCGCACGCGCGTGCTCCTTACTAATTGTACTAGTCGCGTAATAATTTGTTGACGTGAAGAGCTCTTTGCGTGTAATACATAATCCGCGACTATGAGATATAGCTAATTTATAGTCTACGTTTGCTTAACGCTAACAGGTTTCTCGTGTTTCTTTTCTTTAGCTGATTATTAAATTGCCAACATGATAGTTTAGTGTATTCAATACACTCGCACTATGAAATACATATCTCCTATGTGCATAATATTTATTTCATTACTTAGAATACGTGCGGGGTGTCCCATTGCACTTATGAGACTTGCCCATAGATGCTGTAACGAATTTTGTCAAACTTAATCCTCTTGTGACAAGATTTCCATTTGCTATATAACTTTGTTGTTTGCTAAAGTTTTATTATTTTGTACACATCAAGTGTCTTCAGTAAAGATCAAATTCGATGTTAACTAGAACTGTGTGGAGAAATATCGGTCTTAAATCGTAGTTGACCAAAAACTCTTGGATTCTGAAATATTCATCGTACAAAATTAATCATTGCAACAATGTTGCATAATCTATCTCACATGTCTCAGCTCACTCCTTAGTACCTATGGTCAAAATAACATACTATACTTTGGACACCCCGCCCAACGCGAATCCTATAAACATAGTTTTGTTAATGCTTCACGAGTTTTTGCTATATTATATATCATTTTACTGTATTACAATTTTATAATATAAACAAGATTAATATGCATCATGCATTGCGTTTCTATACACATTACTTTGCATATTCCAGTAAAATTCTTTTTTCCTTTTAAATTTTTACGACAGAACAAAGTTCGTTAAATTTTAATGATTTTGCAATATATAAACAATTTATATTTACTGAAAGTGTCTTGGGAAAAAATTAAAAATTATTATTGACATGAAATTTTTGAGTGGTGATTCTAAGCAAATAAAATTTACGAATTACAGCAAATTATTTTTGCCGATATATCAATTTTATTTTTTATATGTAATTCTTTTTATCTCTAAAATATTAGAATTATACATTACTATCAAAGAATATTGAGCTTGAATGATTGTTTCATTGTGGATAAAGCAGTGCAAGTATCATCAATATGTGCTTCTTACTGATATATTTATTTCTTGTATCCTTATGTTCCTAAATAAAAAATATTTATTAAAAAATTAAAAAGAATGTTTTTAGAAACAATATATTCTCCAAACTTTTCTACACCTTTTATTTTCAAATCCATTCATGCAAGAAAAAGTTTATTTTCGAAATTAAATGTAGGATTCACAATTTTTTTACATTGAAAATCCAACAATGTACAAAAATAAAAACTTGATCACAATTGGACGGTTCCTACTTTTCTAAATAAAGACGTATACACTTTTCTCCAATTAAATTATTATCCATTACACTATATATAATCATTATAGTACTTAATATATAATATTGTAATTATTGCAGATAAATATGCATATTATATTTAGAACAAAATTATCTCAACATATGATCAACAGTAATTTCTTTTTCTTTCTTTTGTAGAATCAAGATTTTGGGAAAGACTGATCAAAAGTCTAGTAATACTATATCCTACCTTAAAGTAAGTGTGAATAATTCAGTATATATAACCATATATACATATTTGCACAAAGAGACATCTGTATTAAATATTAGGATATAGATAAAAACGCATCTGATTACAGAAATATAATTTACGATGTTGTAATGAGAGAAAAAGTAAATTTGCAAGCAATAAAATTGTTGAATTATCAGCGAAGTATTACTAGATATTGCTACATTTATTTTATCCAAAGTTCAAGATATTGAATCGTGTATAACTTCTACTACCAATTCTATATATAAATATTTAAGCGTCTTCATATACTTACATTTCACATTTATTATGTATTTTTACCCTGTCTTTCGTTATTCATCAATTGAAGGCACCTGAATATAGTTTTATGTTGAAATTAATTGTTGCATTGAACATATTACCAATTCACCGATGGTTTAATGTAAAAAATTTAATTTTATATGCGTAATATAAAAATAATCAAATTTATTTATCCGCGAATATATTACCTGTCGAATATTTTTATTCCAAATTTGTTCAAGTGAAAAAATTGCGATTTTAATTAATTGAGATTGAATTTGCGATTTTTAGGCACTTTTATGTGATCGTTTTAGGCAGGTACTAATTTTTTTTTTTCAAAACTGAATTAGGCTAAATTAGCTTTCATTCAGAACGACAGAAAGATCCGTCAAGTATTTAATAATAATATTACTCTCTAAATATTTTATATAATGTACAAACAATATCACAGTGATGAGACGACATTTATGATTATAGAATAAGATTAGCTTATTTTTTTTGTCGTGACTCTGATTCGATCGTCAAATATCCAATCGTTAAATATATTTTATCCGAAACTATAGAATGTTTAAAGATATTATCACGTGAAACATCTTCATAAAAAAATCAACTCACAAGCTTTAATTCGCTTGTTATATATTGTACCGATACTTATTTATTACTATACCGTATTAGTAACTCGAGTAATTTTAGGCACTTCGACAAATCGATGTTCTACAATGACATTCTTATAAGACAATAATTACCTCCGGTAATCATGATAATCCGAATAGAAAAAGCACCTGAAATGTTCACAACGGAAAACATATTTTAATCAGAGATTTTAAGAGAGAATTTCTTCTTTAAAAATCATCACGCAAAAAATATTGTATATCTCGACTGCATATTAAATCATTCGATTAAATCAAAATCAGTTAATTCTCTCAATATCCTTCCTCTCAAAGAACATTAACAAAATATCCTACATAAAATTGCATCTCTTTAACGTCTCCCCGAATGATCTCTTTGAAGGATCTATCGCGAGTTGTATAATTGCCGTGAAACACCGATCAATTGGAGGTTTCAATGCTTCTTCATGTGATTAAGCATGATCGTTCGTGTGACGAATCCTTTCCCGCAAAACGTGCACGTGTACGGACGCTCTCCCGTGTGATAACGGCGGTGCACGGTGAGCGTCGATGCCTGCGTGAACGATTTGCCGCACATGGCACAGAGATACGGCCTCTCGCCCGTATGAATGCGCTGATGCACCACGTAATACTTGCGGTGCGTAAAGCCCTTGCCGCAGACGTTGCACACCAACGGTCTGGGTCTGTGCACCGCCTTATGCGTAGTCAGCGACTCGGCAGTAGTGAATTGTTTGGAGCACGAGTCGCAGGGGTAAGAGGTCATGGATTTGGCGGGCATGATGGGGCCGCCGAGGTTGACGGCGGCGGTGACCGGGTCGACGACGGACGACGGCACTACTGTGTTCGACGCGCTGACCATCATTCGGTTGTTGTCGTTACCCGTTGCCGGGACTGGTCTGTGAGTTTTCGCATGGTGATTATACAGATTACGCGTCTCGAAGCGCATCAGGCACCTGGGGCAAGAGTACATTTTCTCCGGATCGATGTCGTGCATCCTTCGATGACGTTCCAGCAGCGTACGATAACGAAAAGTCGCTCGACAGAGATCGCAGGAAAACATTTTATCCATATTACCGTTATCTCCTCCAGCTCCAACTCCACCACTGCCGCCGCCGCCGCCGCCACCACCGCCACCGCCGCCGCCGCCGCCACCGCCACCGCCGCCACCACCGCTGTCGGGCGACATGAGGTTCGCAGAGGTCGACGCGCACGAGGTCACGGACGCGGTGGTGTGTGTGAGCTCGTGTAACTTGAGGTGACTCAGAGAGACGAAGCTACGCGAGCAGACAGCGCACGAGTACCGCGGTTGATTCTCGACATTATGCTCATACTCTGGACGCATCACATGGCTCGTACGCATGTGATAGTTCAGTTTAAGGACGCTTCGGAACTCCAGGCCGCAGGTGGGACATGGATAGGACTCCGCGAGGATCTGCATCTGGTCGAGCAGGGACTGATCCGGGCATACGGACTGAAAGTGCGGAGGAATGGTGTTTAGTAATGTCGACGATAGCATCGACGATTGGTTCGTATATATGGAGTTGGTCTGTAGAAGATTACAATTGACGGAGGACATGCCAGCCTCCCCAGTCTCGGGCGAGGGCGAGAGGATCTGGCGCAGCATCCCCGACAATCCGCCAAAGGTCTCGCCTGCTTCCCTGAAATCGACAAAACCCAAGGACATTGCAACGGAGAACGACCGTGGGCGCACACACACAGCTTTGGTCTTTTTTGTATTCTGCTCTTGGTGATTGTACGATGTTTCGTGTACAGGCAGTGACTAGAGAGAAAGAGAGAGAGAGAGAGAGAGAGAGAGAGAGAGAGAGAGAGAGAGAGAGAGAGAGAGAGAGAGAGAGAGAGAAAAAGAAAGAGGGGGAGAGAGAGGGAGAGAAAGATATCTTAATGCTCATGTGATTGCTGCAAGGTGGCCGTGCAAAGTGCTTGGGCATTGCTGACATCCCTCGAGACGCAGCAATTATTAACGTGTTGTTACAAGAGTGTACGTGCGCATCGAGCTATAGAGAAAGTCGTCGTGATTGTCGTCAAGTCAAGCAGCTTCGAAAAATTTCATCACCCGCTGTTTGTAATAATATCCATCATGAAGCTTTCTGAACTCGTGAGTCTTACATAATAACAATCAAACGTACTCTATAAGAGTGATGGATAATCTATGATTACATGATTTGTCTAAACCTATTTGTATTATCTTTATATACATCGATAATTAGCATCCCATGAATGTCACAAATTATCAGGAATAATGCACACAAAAAAATATACGTCGGAAATTCCCTGATGAGATAGCAGGAGGGAAAAAGTAAAGATATAGCCATAAGATCAAGCCATAAAACTTGGCAAAAGAGTTTGAGAAAGCAAACTTTTTTACTCAAAAAACCACTCTATTTACTGAAATAGAATATGTTAAAACGCAAATTATAAGTCAGTTATAAAAAAAAAATCTCACCTTTATAAACAACCCATTACGATGCAGCCTCTTCTTCTTGTTTCCACATTGCAAAACGAAGCACGATTTTTTCTTGTGTTCATGTCATATCTAACACATCAACTGTGCTCCTAAAGTATGTCACAGATATATTTGCACAGGGTGCATCACGCAAAAGGCAAATAAAAGATGTGCAGTTAAAAACTGCAACGAAGAAAGTAAAAGGATAAACGGGGAAAGTCATAAATATTATTCAGCGTTTTATAGCAAAAAGTGACAAACCACACGAAAGTCTGATGCGGCAAAAGCACAAAAAGTGCTTTGCAATGTCCAGCTTTCATGTGTCAAACGTCAGCTATATACATTGAGCTGAATAACATGATTTTCCCCATCCAAAAACATCAACATCTATCACATGATACGATGCAGTTCCAGAAGAAAACTGCACCAAATACTTTGGTATGTACATTGCAGCCAGTTCAAGGCGCAAAAAATAAAAAAATACTTAATAAAATTAACAATTATAAAAAGTTTCGTCGTGGATGCGAAATCGGCGCAACTTTACAGTGCGAGCCTGGTTCTGTCAATATAGTTCGCCAAACCGAAAAAAAGAAAAAGGTACATAATTGCCCTCCATATGCGTCACACGTGGCACGATCTTCTCTGCATTCAGATGGAAGCTCGCAAAATAACACGTGCGACCAAATAATGCGCATGAGAAAAACTATTATCTCGTAACAGCGCTGTGTCGGGATACGCAAAAGTATCTGCTCGACACCAAAAGATACATTTGTTCGAGAGTTTATCGTGGAGATAATACAAATTCCCGTGCTAAAATATTATCAGCACTAAAATGCGCGTATTTTTATATATATGTCGCATGTATGATAAAAAATAGTTTATGTAAGTTGAGATAAAATAAATATTTATATTTATATATATATAGATAGAACGTACGTAAAAAAAGGGAATACTCGCCTTCATATTTATGTAAAAAGTCCTCTTGATTCAGCCGTCTCTCAACGGATGATACTTTTGCTCGTTTTTCGCAGAATCTTCGAGTTGTGGAGAAATATACGTATTTCCTTGATCTTCTTCAGCATCGAGATTAATTCTTAACCGAGTATCTTCACCGTTACGATGATACACCAATGTGCGCGCACGTGCGCGCATATTACTTTATTGTCCGATAATCATACCGGACGCGCGAAATTTACTAACAATCACGTGGTATACGTATTCGTACGTCAGTTGAACGGTAATTCTTAAAATTAGCGTCGTAACACTAGTATAACAGTACAGAGTCCTGGCGATATCGTAAAGCGCAGGCATCGGAAAGCACGAATATATAAACGAGAAATAATAGATATATTCGTTGCATCAATTGAAGTATCTATCGTCTGTGATTTTTGGATCGGCCGAATATCGGTCATGTGCGGCATTTAGTGCCATCACGTAAGCGTGGGAATATTAATATCGACAACATGTAAACATTTGATTCCTGTGTGGATAGAGAGATCGAGCTGGTACTTCACATCTACATCGTTGATTGTGGAATAATAAGACAACGTGTGCACACTCGATCGTTTCCTTTCGTTTTCTTATATGTATGACGCATTATGTAGAGAAATCCAGAGAAATCCCTCTATCCATTTCATTGCACATATATAAGTAATATTTAACACAGAGTCCATTTCGAAGAAAATAATATGGAAGTATCATTAAATATTTGTGGAAAATTCTAAAATCGGAAATTGAAAACAGTACAATTATATCTCGTCGAAATGTACTCTACATACATGCTATCACATATAAAGATTAGGTGCTTAGCAATTTGCATTACAACCTCAGAAATTGTATGATTATTGTATGATTAAGGTAAAAAAATTGCGAAATTACTTAAATTATGCGGATATCATGTAAAACATATATTTCCATAAATTGCTAAACACCTCAGGGCCAAAGATGGTTGTGGGGTGTGTTCAAACTTACCTTGTGTTTATATGCACTTTGCTTTCATAATAATCGACGCTTGAACGCGCTATATTAAACATCTCGATTTGCAATCGAAGCAAAACCTATTTTATAACTCCTTTTTTGTCAACGTTTGTTTTTACTATTTCACTTTACGCCTAATAAAACTTTCAACTTTAATATTTAGTTATTGACTTCGGATACAGAATATGATAACGTACAATTATGAGCATTTTAAAATGACGTACGATGTTCTCAGATATAAGATATTGATTTCTTTAAAAATAGATACGCCATAATGCTGTCGATAACTTCCACTATATACCCGAAAGATTTTTTTTCATATCAGCTTGTTTAACACGTTAAACGTCATGTCCGTCACTGGTGACCGACAATACAAAATTTAATTAGATATCTCAATATTAAAAATTAAAAATTATGAAGATGTATCTACATATTACTTTGTATATATATATATATATATATATATATATATATATATATAATGCAATATATATAGAATAAAAATAATTTTAATCTATTTTATTAAAATACTCTAGGCAGAGATGTGGTTTTTCATCACAATTATCACAAAAATTTGTGATATTTTTAGTTAAATTTCTAACAATATTTCTTCCAAATCATGCTGCATTATCTTCATAGCATTTTTTACAATATTTTCCAACTTTAGATGCTCTTCCATTTTTGTTTGCAATTCATAACAGAATATTTGAGGTTTATTTATAATAGATCCTGTCATTCTGCACAAACATTGTTTTATCGTGCATTTATAGCATCAGAACCATCATTACTTTGTATCATTTTTATTAGAGCATATTTGATATATTTGATATTTTTGATGCAACGTGATGATAACTCATCTGACTTATTATCCTCTGATGATAAAAATATTACAATTCCAGAATGTTTTTTCACGGAACCGAAAATGTTCGGCGCTTAACGTGTTAAATAACATATTCAAGTGTACTTTGTTGACACAGAATTAAAATATTATCATAAATCATTGATATTATTTTCAAAGTTAATAAATACATGTAACTTTATTTGATAGCAATCAAATGAGAAATTAATTTAGTATAATATAGCAACGATAATAAATAAATCAATAAAGTCAACACAATGTTTCGTGTCATTGTTTATGTTCGCCACAACAAATGACACCTTTGGCCCTTAAACAATAAAATAAAACAGAAAACTTACCCAGTTTTCGGATCTCCGGCCGTTGTCATCTCTTGTATGTCAGCCATTTTTTGCTGTTGAAGTCCAGAAGGGCCTGGATCTTCGCACGCCAAAGACACATTTACAAATGTTGTAGGCTCGATAGTTCTACTGTTGTTAGGATCCTCTTCACTTTCTTCTTTTATAGGTAGGCCTGAAACAATTCAAAAATTTCACTTTCTCTCTTCTACTTAAGTTCCACAATAACAAGTCATGCATTAAATGCTTGAGTTAAAATATATTATGGTAGATACACACCATCCCCATCACATTCGTCATCTGAGTTTTCTTCGTCTTCACTACTTTCTTCTTCCTCTTCTTGTTGCGTGGGTGCATTCGTTTGATTTTGTATAATTTGGTCATGCGTAATTTGCTCATGTGTACTTGATCCAGCTACTACTTGGATACTTTGTACAGAGCTACCACTGGGGTCCATAGGAACTGAGGTTATTTGTTGTTGGTTATTGGGCATCATCATTGACATACACATGCCCATATTGTCCATAACCATGTTCAGACTATTCTGATGCCCACTTACTTGCTGCATCATACCTGAACCATCTAACCTGTTCTCGTTGCTCTGTTCTCCTTTCATACCGCTCTGAAATTAAAAAAAAGAAAAAACAAAATATAACTTATCTCTACACTTACCAAATTATATGTTACAAACTCAGGTAATGTAAACTAGATTAATATTTTCACTACTTTCTCTTCTGAGATTATATATATATATGTTATTCATGATGTATGTATATGATTCATTGTACAGTGTAGCCAGTAACTGATACCAAATACTACATACAAAAAATTGAAATATGTAAAAATATATAATGTGGTAGTTTAAAAATATTCAGAATAACTTACAAATGTATAACATGTAAAATATTAAGATCACTAGTTATTATCATTGCTAAGGTAAACATGAACAAATGAAGAATCAAACATAAGAAAATCTCTACAGTTATACAAGGTGAATATTTTTTTCAGAGTTTGATATGCAATAAACTATAATAATTAATAACAAATTAATTATAACAATGAGTAAACAAATAAATTATCTATAATAATAATTACCTGGTTGAGAACAGTAGCAACAGCATAGTCCTGTTTTTCTACATCTGCTAGCCATGCTTGCAATCGTTTTTCTGAAACTGCTGTAGTTTGCCAGAATTCAAAGAACGTTTCTACTTTGTACACACAATCGGCACATAACTTTTGAGGTAATTTATCTTCCCTAGAGATCTAGAATCATAATAAAAAAAATTACATAATTTTATTATATAATTTTAAGTGTGGATGCTGTATATGAATAAAACATAATTACTGCACATATTTAATTTATATATTAAAAATTAGATATTTTGTTAAAAATATTAAAAGATAATTTTGAAACAGGATTATTTCTTTATCAGTGGTGTGTGCAAAAATAGCCATTAAGTTATATACAGGAAATTGGTGATTAAAAGCTAATAGCCACATGGCATTGTTATAATTTCCATCAATCTACATTATAACTTACACGTAAATAAATATAAGCGATTATTATAACTTACACGTAAATAAATATAAGCGATACGACAATATTAATCGCACGATAACATAGGCAAAGAGGCATTTTTAGCAACTACAAAAATATACCGATGAAAAGTGAAAATATATATCTATTTTGCATAATAGTACGGAAAATTAACGTTGCTCGACTCGTGAGCATAGATACGATAATGTCGGCGACAAGATGTCGAAAACATCGATGAGCAAGATTAATTAATGATGATGCGAGACGATAATACTTTAGTCTGCGTTAAACCGCGAAGAAACAATAAACATACCATTAACAGTTCAGTACGAAGAATGGAACAAAGTATGATTCTGGTTAACGACATTTATGTGTAAAAAGCGCGGCAAAAATTCTTTAATAATTAGTGGCGTCACAAAGGCATAGAGACTGCGATCTCGCAACACGGATATGAAACGATGAGCATCGTAATATCGCGCGGGTTCAAGGCGCGTGTTTCGTCACTTGTCTCTACAGCGTGATTCAAAAAGACATAAAGGTTTATAAATTGAGCGAGAGGCCAATGAGTCGTGCGACCGCGTACATTGCTGCGAAAGATCGAGAAGGCGTACAAGATGGCGGTTCGCCATAGTCAAACGAATGGCGTAGTTGGCTTTCTTACCTTCACCGGCAGGCAGGTGCTGATTTTCGTAAAAATGCGCCGTGCGTCACCCTCGCCTTCAAAAATCGGCACGGTAACGCGCTCCTTCACGAGACACAGTCGACACAGATCCGAACAATCGGCGGAGGACATTTTACTATGTAAAACGCCAGCTCGAAGACGCAAAGCCGCGCCCGTGGACGCAAACGCCGTTTCGACCGAAGCAGAAGAGGGCAGCGCGTTGTTCGTTACGCGTCGCTCGCGCTACGCGTTCGGCCGCGCTTCGGCCGTATTCGGCGCGTCGTTCGGGCGTACCCGGCACACTTCGGCAGTCTCCGTATCCGTATCGATTAGCTCACGAGCGAAGCCAACCGCCTTCATACACGACAGTACCGAACGCTACGAAGGTTCTTTCCTTGAAATATGCTGCGCGAATCGATGCAGGGCGGTCCGATTTCCCTCGAAATCGGACGCCGAGACCCGGCTTGCCGGCGAGCCATGTATGGAAACTATTCGCGATGTCGATCGCGCAATCGGGCTTTACGCGAGCATGTAAGTTCCTTCGCGACTACAATATTCTGTCTACTCTCTTTACCTCTCTTGCTCTCCTTCTCTCTCTCTCTCTCTCTCTCTCTCTCTCTCTCTCTCTCTCTCTCTCTCTCTCTCTCACAACTATTATTACGGGTCTGCCTCTGAGAACCGGCCTTAGCGTCCCTACGCGACGAAATACACGATGCCGGTCTCTTCGAATCATGGCGGGAGAACGGCATCACCTTAGTCCGGACCGAGGTCGAATTTTTACTCGTTTACGAGGTACTAGAAACTTCTCAATCGTTTCGAGTACTGTACGAACGTACATACGAGAAAAACTGACGAGAAACAATATGATATTGATATTCGAGACCACTTCGGATAATCCGAAGCGATGTTCCCTCGATTGTTGTCGAACCGTAGAACATAGAGCATAACCTGTCGGCCATATTGCATGGTAATGGTGAAATTTCGCAAATCATACATAACGTAATGTCGCATGTATTGTTACATGGTAGGAACACGGAATTTCGCAACATTTCGATGCATAGCGCGAAAACTTTACGTGCCACGTGTGCGTAACACGTTGCAATTTTGCAGTCGAAATACAATTTCTACATGTGTCTTATGGGACACTCTAGAATGGGACTCTCTAGATTCGAATAATTTCGATATTCGGCACATCGTGCGAACGACGTGCCGAATTGGTAAAATTATCGTAAAACTACGGATATAATTCTTTAACATGTGCGCGATTATGCGGTAATTTTGCAGGAGAAAGCCTGCGCGGTCTCGTAGTTTCACTTTTGAGTTTCCGACGTGCCGATTGATTGATCGGGCAGGTGACTGAGAAAGGTCGTCCGGGTGAACGCTATGAAGTTTTCATGCCCAATTACTCCCACTTTAGTTGGATGTTCAACGACGCATGATCGAACCATGCAACATCTATCAGCAAGCAGCGGTGACGAGTGGCGAAAGGTGAGTGCATCCTGGTTAAATCAATGAATGCGTAACGTATTCATTCGCAATAAGTACGTTTGCTCTAAGAATTTCAAAAGATATGTCGCGGCGATCGTCTCTTTACTCGCCCTTGAACAGTGAAGTATTGAGATTTGTTATCATACTGCACTGTATCTCTAGCAAAACAAAAAAGCGCCTGCAGGCAGCAGAGAGGAGCCGTAATGTTACATCCCTTTATCATTGCGGGCAATGATTCGAGAGATTTAAGCTTCTTTCACACCGATGGTTAGGTCACTGTTGAACGTTGGCATTGAACGTTCTACAGTCGACATGGACGACCTGCCAATGGACAGGACGATTTATCCTTTGGAAAAAGAATATTCTCACTGTCGTTTGCTGTCCATTTGATTGTGACGATTGTGATACGATGGTTTATCGTCTGGTCATATGAAAACATATAAGGTCGGCCTTACCTCTGTCACTATGAAAGATATTAATGACCTCTGATATGCCTCTTCATATGCTGCACAGCATTTTATTTTGATGATAAAACGCAGATGCATTTATTTTTCGTTAGAGCGAGATATTTCTTGAATATTTTTTGGTCTTACGTCTCAACCTTTGCATCAATGATTTATAGATTATTACGTTTAACTTGACCGCCAAATAAAGAATTATATAACAAATATATAGAAAATAATGTGCCTAGACACAGTTATAACAAGTAAAAATAATCTCCTTTTTGCTTATTATTAATATCAATAGCATTCAAATATTAGTCGGTGTCATATATACATACGTGATCAAGAATTTTTGCCATAAGATGAATGCATCTAAGAAAAAATTACACGCTAAGCAAGAGATAAAATATTTATTAGATTTTGGACGCACGGGAAAGGGAGATATTGCGCGGCACATGTTTTAGATAAAAAAAACTGCTTTATTGTGGCAGAGCACATGTATCATCATATATCAGCATATAATTAGGAAGTCCATAGTAATTTACAAATTACGATCCACTTAAAAGTCGTTACATATGGCGGTGTGTGCAGGCAGGGAATTTGAGAACCGATTCTGATCGCTCTCGCGTCTTATCTTGAATTTTCGCCTTCGTTTTGTTCGTACTCTCCTCCAAACCTTTGAACGTTAATTGCGTCTCGATCACACGAATGGCTTTTTCGAAGGCCCTTGGAGGGTACGCTATTTATAATACACGAAAATAAGAGATATGTAGTCTCCTTTCTTTTGGTTGTCTCTTTTACTTTTTTTTTTCTCATCGAAATGTTGTAATTAGTTGTAATTAGTCGAGGAACATCGTGTAAATGTCGCTTGCGTATTACAATATTGCTATTAAGTATCGTAAATCATACTTTTACCGTTCCATTAGGGAGAACAGCGAAAACGAAATCGTATATTTTATATTCTCAAAAGCGTACTTTCACGCGGAAGAAATAGGCGATCGATTCTCCTACGTTTTAAATAATTTGCCCAAAATCAAAATTTCCCAAATGCAGTCTCTTAAACGATGAGTTAGAGTTTTGTTAGAATCCGTTCTAATTGGGGCATGCGGCCAATGAAATCGTCTGCAAACGGAATGATAGCGCGCGAACCATGTTATTAAATTCGGAAGATACAATATGCACGCGAATGCGCTTCTCTCGCGTAGTCATTTCACGAACATCTCAATTTTTTCGCGGCTTAAGAACTGCACCGATTAATAAATTGATTAAGATCGCGACAAAACTGCGTTTTACTTCGATGCTTTTCTGTGTGTAGTTAATTAATTAATTAATTAATCGATTAATTAGTTTGTTAAATTCGTAACTATGCACTTACATTTTACGCGCTATAACAATAATAGCAAAATTGCGTGAATGTTTGAATCTTTTTTTTTTTCTTTTAATTCCATATCCCTTTGGTTTTTTTTTTTCATAATGTAAATTTACAGCTATTACAAGTATTATTGTTTATATTTGTTTTTAAGGTAACATTAATAGCAGACTTTTCGTGTCCGTTACCTACTAAATACAAAGTTAAAAATGCGCGAAGTTCAAATTCTTTTTTTTTTGTTTTGTTTTAAATTTGCGAATGTGTTCCGCTGAGTATATGCGCGTGCACATTTGCACATGCACGTTGCATGTGTACACAGCACATGCTGGATTTGCGTGCGGCACACTTGCCTGTGCCGTTGCTCCTCTCTGAATCATTCGGAAACCTAAATTAAAAGAACGAGTCGAAAGCTCCAAATAGTGTTAATATCAAAAGACGTCTTGACAGAAAACATTTGACAAATGCAAATCGCGTATCGGTAAAATGAATCGTTGTGACATTTCGAAAATAAAAAAAGGAAAAGAAAAATTATGAATTATATTTTACATAATGCTACACGCGGTTTAGACCAACGAAACAATCAATAACGTTCGCAATATTCTCACGCGTTTGTTTTCTCTCTCTCTCTCTCTCTCTCTCTCTCTCTCTTTCTCTCTCTCTCTCTCTCTCTCTCTCTCTCTCTCTCTCTCTCTCTCTCTCTTGCTTTCTTTCTATATATATATATATATATGTATATATATTTCTATTAGCGCTCTTTTTTGCACGAGACGTCCTTTTAATTGTAGATATCCTGAAACTTTTGGAAGGCCGCTGATGTATCGTTTCAAAAATTTTCAAACCAATTCTAAACTAAAGACCGTAGTCTACCTAATAGAACCGATCGAATAAGTGTCATGTCCAAAGTAAACATTCTTGCACTCGCTTGGAACAAAACGGTGTCTTACGTATGTATGTGTATGTCTGTATATAATATAATGTATATGTATAATACAGTATAATATAGCGTACTGTAGTATTATGTCGTGTTGTACTGTATTTTGTGTATGTGTGTGTGTGTGTGTGTGTGTGTCTGTGCAATTGTTCCTGCCACAATTGTATGAGCGATTGTGATTATGCTCAGTCACTTTTGAGAACTAAGAACATTGGTCGTGAAACGATCCATACAGCACAGAACGCACTTGTACAACTTTACAACATCGTGATGAAATATCTTCGCAATATTTCGGCAACCCTTCCGCGCTATATGGAAGAAAGTACGTATAGTATTATGCAAGAATCTTTCAGACATTATCTTATCACGTTCTAATTAACTAGACTATAGTCTTAAAATGATTTCTTATATCATCGACGTTGGGATTAACTAATCTCTAGCATTTGGTCGTAAAATCGTTGATAGTTTTAGCATATCTAATATACACTTCACGCTGATACGCTGTATCGATGAGATTCATTTAGGAAGCTGAACGACAAAAAACATCAAGTGGGAGAGGCTTTGGAGAAGTGAACGTAATCCTCTAGCAATTCGAACGAAGCGTATGTCTCACTCTATATCGTACAATTGTCTCTCATACGTAAGGAGTGTCGCGTATGTTTCGATCTACTTCGACAACGTTCCAATCACCATTTTACCTTTTTTTACACGCGAAGTGTGATACCTGTGATTCGTAATATCGATGAATAAAACGTGCGAGCTCCTCTATATGGGGCTTATGTTACAAGTGGGAATCTTCGAAAATTACATCGCTGGTAGTAATCTATCTAGTGGAACACTCGTCGTTTGTTTGAATTTTGTTCGCGATGCCGATTATCGTGTCGCTAAACGGCGTTGGAGATTGCCAAATTAGATACGAAGCAAACCGTCCCTCGAGTACTTAGACAGAACTGCTTTATATATTACAATATATAATATTATACAATTAATAAAAAATCTCTCGTGACAAACAGCGCCACGCTTTTCACAATTTACAATTATTATCAATAGAAACTTCATATTTCACGGTTTTATGGCCATTTATATACTACAGTGTAATGCGTGAAATTATAATATATTCAAGTTTCGTTCTTAGCACGGCGCGATCGATCGATTCGAATCAATCTTCTCGTGAAAATAGGAAAGTTACAGCAACGTGCTATCCTATAAGTCCACGAGATATTCGCCATGTTGCTATGTTGCTATTATTAGTCATTCAACTTACAATAAAAATTGTCAATTTTTCAATATTTTTTTTATTAGCATCTTCGTACTTTTGTTTTCTTTTCCTTCTTTTTATCAAAATAATACAAATAACGGCAATTGAAATATACGTAAAAAAATTATGGCACTGTTGACGAGAAATGTCCCTTCGGACATCAAATTTTAAACGGATATCTTTAACAGCACAAGCAAAAGAAGTAACCTTGCGGGTTATTAAGAGATAATAGACATTATCGATTACGCAAATACAGAATATCACAAATCAAATCACATTCTTTTCATCCTAAAATTAAGTTAATACTCTGTACCCTGACGATAATATCAGCAGTTTCGCGTCATCTAATTTAATAATCGAATTGAAAGTAATCGTCGAGAAATTTGTCTTTTGTCCAGCTAACTCTATAGCTTTAATATTATACAAGCTCAATTATTTTCTTTTTTATCGAATGTTACAATAAATACAAAATATTATATGAAAGTGTATATAATTCTTGTATTATCTTAAGACGCTATAGTCTGTTCACCTGAGAATTAAAAAAATTGTATATCCGATTATTCAAAATTTTATTAACGTTACGTGAAGACTAGCAAAGTTCGATATAATTAACTACGAATTTATAAGAACAAATGGGGAGAAACGCTGATCGTTCCAAAAATTGTAAAATACCTACTTGTTATTCCGAGAAGGCTTTGTGATCGTTACTGTTATTTAGCGTAAACGAGTCCAAATGATGCTTTAAAAATGGGTGAAGGGGAGGGGAGGGAGGCGAATTAAATGAAAAGTTACATCAACTATCAGTTAATATAAGATGCATGACTAATTATGCGCGTGTGTAATTATTCGCTTAATCTGTTCTTGTTAGATTTTTCTTTTTTTTTGTGTGTTGTCTCCTCCTCGCGTCTCATAAAAATTATTTACGATCTTTCACGCGATCGTCATTTAATACTATCTATATAATATATTACAGAATTAATTCATTTTGTTTTGTTCGCAGTTAATAATTAATGGTAATGAACGGGAGTAAGTTCTAACGGTTCTTATCGTCTTTTTCTTCTTTCCTTGTAGAATAAGGTATTCATAAGTGAAATGGCGTAACTAATAAATGGTACGGCAGATACAGTCTGCCTCGTCTGTAATCACACTCGTTATCGTGGGATAATAAATGTTAAACGTTTAAATTTCCGACGAGCGTCCGGTGCGCGGATATCTCGTCGCGCTAATTGGTAATCGTAATGTTGAGAAATACCAAATCGCGTATCGCGGTTTCCTTAAATCTGTCGATCGCATGCGTAATAATCCTATATAAATTACACTTGGTCATGGTGAACGTCAATAGATTTAAGTGTTGGAAACTGTCGATGTCTGATTTACGTAGGTTTTACATAGGTTTTGTTTCTCTCTTTTAATTTAATATACCGACCACATCGTAGTTGGATGGCGATTCACATAAATCCGCACGATTCCGATAGCGAGACGTTCTTACGGGCGAGAGCAGCCGTATTCGTCGACGTTATTCCCCTCTCGTAGAGACTGGATAAAGAAACGTCCTTCTACTTACACTACTCGTACAATGTGCAATCCAGTATACGTCTTAAAAATATTCGAATAGGTTCTACTTTTCGATAAAAGGCAAGAGAATTGTTCCGCTCGTGTTCACCTATATATTATGATAACGCATCTACCGGAATATATTACGTACTTCGTGCTTCGATGGATTGACTCTTCGTAGGTAAACTGTAAACGATCAATTCGGGGGGAACGAATTCGTCGATATTTTTCTCGCGTAACTTATTTCTGTAAGATCGTGTTGTCATCGGCCGAGCGCTTCTGGTACAAGAGACCTACGGCAGCTAGAGTCTAGAGATCTATGTAGCTGTGGCCATTTTGCGACAATTTCTGATCTGCGTAATTAAATAATAATAAATGGAAAATCGAAATTTTGAATACATACATACATATACATATATATATATATATATATATATATACACACATATATACATATATATATATATATATAAATATCTGTGAACTCCCGTATGATAGTAATATGACATATCTTACAAATATGTATTATACACATCCGTAAGACTCTCTCGGAACGCCTCGTGTCGTATACCTAAGTGTCGTAATATATCTATACTTTATATTATATACAAATTGTAAAATGTGTTTTCTTAATGAAAAAGTCCTGTGTCGGTCTTTTTGTGTATATTCTCTTTTTATCTCTTCTTTGGTATGTATTTATATATTATCTCTCTTTATATTTCTCTTTCTACTTTCCTCTCTCTTTCTCTCTCTCCCCCTCTCCTCTCCTCTCCTCTCCTCTCTCTCTCTCTCTCTCTCTCTCTCTCTCTCTCTCTCTCTCTCTCTCTCTCTTCTCTACTGCGTGAGAACGTGAACGTAGATGTAAATTTAGCACTCGCAATCGTACCCTCACACTTTCGCGCTCACTGTTCTTTCACACAGATTCGCATATTCGTACTCCCACGCGCGTTCGCTCGTTCGCTCGTTCGTTCACATTCACTCGAACAGTCGCGCCTCGAATTCGCTTCTTTTCGTCCTTCTCGTTTCAATTTTTTGCATCTCTCAGCTTTGCTGGTCGCATAATCGTACAATCCTTTGGTACACACGCTCGATTCTCGAAGGTCGGCTCGCTGTTTGACAGTGTTCGCGACGCGATTCCACGATTTCCATTTCGTTACACTCTAAAAAATCTGCTCTGTAAACGGTATCAGGAAACAAATATAAGGATCGTGTTGTCAGAATTGTCCTCACGATTGGCGCAATCACTGTTCTTCCTAAATACAATGACGTTTTCATTGAGACAAGTTCCCAAACGAAAAGAGGAATGTATGACAAGTCCGTGCTTCAATTCCTTACGACGGACATCCCGACACGAATGTGTCCTTAACACCTACGTCTTACTTTTCCGAAAAAGTAATTTCAGCCGCAAAGAATTAAACGACCTAGCTACTGTCTATGAATACAATCCAACGTCGTTATTATCACACGCGTACAGAATCTTGTCGCATGTCGCGCACTTCGCGATACCGACGAACGCCACAGCCATTTTTACAGGTAGTACCAGAACGGAAGATCTCTCGTGTCAATTGACGGGCGGTCCAATCCAAATCGTCCGCGCGGCAGCGCAAAAATCATCACGATCAAATGTACCCTAATATCATTCGTGATCCTGAACATTCGTAATCCTGAACATTAAACAAATCCAAACGACGGCGGCGTATTCGCGAACGAAAGGGTCCGTGCACCCGTTGAAGAACATTCGGCGCCGTCGCTACTCCCGGAAGCTCCTGTTCGACGTTGAATGTCTCAACTTCAACATAGCTCCGGCAATCCGCTCTAACCAATTCCGATTGCCTATACGAAAATTTGCTCTCGTTCCACAAGAACCGTAGGAAAGTGGACATGCAGAAGGGAAAGTAAGAGAGGAATGAAGTGAGAGAGAGAGAGAGAGAGAGAGAGAGAGAGAGAGAGAGAGAGAGAGAGAGAGAGAGAGAGAGAGAGAGAGAGAGAGAGAGAGAGAGAGAGAGAGAGAGAGAGAGAGAGAGAGAGAGAGAGAGAGGAGAACTCGTGGCGGTGATGATAGCGTCTCGCGACGACGATTAAAATTCGTTGAAATGGCGGCTGCAGGGCAGGCAGAAACGATGCTCTCTCAGACGGACAGCCGCCGCGGCTGCAGTTGATGCTGGTGATGGTAATACCGATCGTCCTCATCTAGATCCAGCATCAGGCTCCTCGCGCCCGAGCAACGTCAGATACTGGCGCGATGCTGATGCAGCGGCGGCAGTTGCAGAAGAGGCGTGAGCGGCGGCGGGCGCAACTCGTCGTCGCCGTGCACATTCAGCGCCGACAGCTGTTGCATCTGCAGCAGGTGCGAGATCTTGCCTGGCGAGCGACGGACCGTGAAGCGCGGTCTCCGCCGCTTCTTCTGGAAACCGTTGCAACGACAACTGCACACGGACGTCTCGTCATCCAACGATATCGCGTCGCCCTGATTGCCGATCTGACCGGATAGTATCGAGCCGTTCGCCGTTATCACGTCACCCTCGAGGCGCACCGCGCCTTGAGCCGCCTATAAAATGTGAAAAGAACCGCTGAATTTAGAATTCAAAAGGTGTAAAGAGATGCGACTCGCTGAGCAGGATTTTGAATAAATAATAAGCGCGTGTAATATATCTAAATCTTTTCGAATGAATTTCTACTCGAAGAGCGAGTCATTTTTTACTCGTATAGACTAAATTTTCCATTTTGTATCGTCGAGTAAATACTTCCATTTGAAATTGGACAGCGAATTTAAAATTCACTTCACTTTCTCAGAGAATAAATAAATATATATACTAATCAACTAAAATTCTCTCTCGTATGGATTAAGATTTCATTTCAAGTTTGAGTTAAACATTTCGCTCTCTTATGATTTTGACTATTTTATATTTTGTAATGTACCGAAGTAGTACCTCTCTTCATTGTCGCTTTGAGTAAATTTTTCTTAGTCTCGAGTAAGTCTCCACTTTAAGGAATTTAGAGAGTACAGCAAAGATTCTCCTCACCTGTAACGCTTCGGCTTCGTCTCGTCTTTCGTCCTCCGTGTTCATCGTCACGAATCTCAAGACCAATAGATTCAACGAAGCAGCGACGATCGCCAAGCCGAAGAGGATGAATATTAAGGCGAACATCACGTACTCGGGCTTCTTGTTCAGTGCGTTGTCCCTCTGTAGCGCGACCATGTCGCCGAAGCCGATGGTCGTCAGAGTGATAAAACAATAGTAAATAGAATCGAAGTAGGTCCACCCTTCGTATCTGGAGAACGCGGCAGCACCGCCGGCAATGGTCAAGCACGACAGAGTCGTTACCACGCAGATGAGATTAATCTCCGAGGCCTGCGACACGTGATGGAATCGGCATATTAATTCACGATCGCGATTCGTCGATTCGCGAAGCGTCTCGTCAGCGTTTTGATCGGACGATTCGCGCTCGGGCTCGGCTTAAAATATTGATGCGGGCATTCTCGTCCCGTACATTCTCGTAAACTCCATTCGAATCATCGAGGTATCGAATCAACAAGGTTCGTCTAAGTTGTTATTACCTGGACGTCCTTGCAGTTTAGAAGCCGCTTTACATTCCGTATTACGACGGACGAGAACTTATTCAAGCGTTCTCCTATGCTCTGGAACATTACGAGTCCTAATGGGATACCGACAATCGCATAGAACATCGTGAACAGTTTGCCGCTTATGGTATTTGGCGTCGAGTGTCCGTAACCTAGAAGACATAACACGCGACAAATATTAACAACTTTTCTCCTCGGTCTGGATCGTAGAGAACGACCGAGTATGACAAGAGCGACGGATACGAGCTGAATTGTAAAATGAAGAATACGCAATTTGATGTCTCATAAAAAATGCCAAGATATCGCACGTACGAAGCGTGAGCTCTCCGTAACAATACATTGAGCGAAAAGAAATGATTTCAGGGTTATTGCCAATTTTAATATCAAAATTATACACTTGCTTTCAATGCTAGCCGAAAATGTTTGTTCTAATCGTAATCAATAAGATACTGGTAATGTATTTACTGGTAATATTATGATTAAATATTAAATATTATATTTTCTTTACGTGAAATGAATAAGCCGACTGAGAAATCGTGACGCGTCGAATCGACTTTGCGGATGCAAAATTACGGTATATATATATATATATATAGGCGCAGAATTTCAATTCGATAAACAAGAGAAGCAACTCGACATTCGCCGAAAGTAATTGGATTGTACGCACCTATCGTAGTGAGGACCGTTGTGGCATAATAAAACGCGCCGGCAAACTTCCACTGTTGGCCAGCCTTATGAGGTTCCGTCTTCAGCACCACTGTTTCCATGATCTTGAAGTCGTCCTCGCTTATATTATATTTTCGAATGACCATTTTCTCAATGGCTGCGAACAGAACAAACGCGGCGATACGCTATACAACTCCGGTTCCGGACTGGAAAAGCCATGGGTGTTCGACACAGTTCTGCGCACGGCTGTTTACCGGTGCCGATCTCGCGCGTGAGGGACAAGTGAATATCACTCGGAGCTAAATAAAATCACTAACGACCTTTGAACTTTTCAGGGAGTATACTTTCACGTCCGCCGGGAAGTGCCCGGATTGGAGAAGGGACGACGATAACTCGATACTTTTAATGAAATTATTATATGTCAGGCACGCAGAGTCGCTTTCAACCACGAACAAAAGACGAGGCTGGTTTTTATAAAAAAAAAAATACGAGACAAGAGAGAGAGAGAGAGAGAGAGAGAGAGAGAGAGAGAGACTCTCTCCCTCCCTCTTTCTAGCAAGCTTTCAGAACTTATATGATCTGCGAGAGAACATATTTATCAAGCGCTTCGGACCATCAGCGAGACGATACTACCGTCGTTACGTTGTACGAAGATCGTTTTACTTCGCTTATAACGTAGTGACTTCTTGTGTCATGCGTATATGACTCGCACAAATACTGTTCTCGCGCGCGATTACAGTTTATATTATACGACGCTATCTAGACGTTTCCCACCCGCGCCCCTCTGAGTTACCTACGCGAGTCGCAGCAAAAAGGTTTTCCTGACGGGCATAACACGGGTGTACAAGAGATGTCGCGAAACATTGTTCTCACGTCGTAAATATTAATCTTTTTCTGCAGATTCGAAATGAAAACGGTGAAAATAAAAAGTAACAATAATACACGCGCCAACACTCAGGTATGAAACATCGACGGTATCGTGCTTGAGCATCGTCGTCCGTATTTTTCACAAGGTACAGAGGATAACTTGAATAAAATTTCATACAAATTAATGATAAAGCTGCTCGTCGATCATCCGATTGTTCATCGCGAAGGTCGCCGCGCGATCGCCAATTTTGCAATCGCAGCATTTTGCAACGCGTATGTAGACGCTCGCCGACTACCTACCGTCCAATGCTTCCTTGCGTGATTTCTCCGTCTCGGACTCGAGTACGTCGAAGATTGCAGCACCGACGAGGAGATAGGTAAACGTGAAAACGATTAATGATAGGGTCCGGACGTTTTGCTTCTTCATTCTCTAGTGAGCCACATGCTCACTAGCAGGGCCCCGGCCCTAACTACTTGCATCGCTCAGTGGGGTACGATTTGGCTTGCCGGGCCCATGACGACCCCCTCTTCTTGTGCTCGACGGTGCCCCGGGGTTCCCTGTCTTCCTTACCGAGCGCTACAGGCCTGGCACGCGACTCTTCGTCTTCAGGACGTCGGTTTCCTTGCCGTAGCGGTCGTGCAGCCGTTTCCGTTCATCTGAAACTTCCGTACATCCACTACACGCCTGATTGAAGCTAACGCGCGCGCAGGAAGGAGCATCGTCGGCTCGAGGCTCGGTCGTTAGAATGCACGGGCTGAATCATCATCGGATCGCTTGAAAAACGAGCTTCCGGCGAAGCGAGCGAGAGGAGCGTACAATCGATTTTATGACACGCGAAAGGGAGCCAATGATATGGACGAAATGGACAGATCCGTTCTGACGGAACTCTTGGCTGGTTATTTTTAAAGATGTGGGTCACTTAAGAGGAAAAAGATCGGACAGGCATGATCGAGGGGGGAGGGGGGAGGAAGGGGAAAGGGGGAGTAGATCGATCTCGTACGACTGCGAGGACTTCTTGCCGCGGACATTTTCAGAATCTTTCCGTCGCGGCTTGAAATTAAGACACCGTAGGTGCGAGACACCGCGAGGTATAATCGACTGTGCGAGATGACCTATTTTAAGATCGCTCCTTTCTGCCCTATCGAGGAGCGCGAAGCGAAATCGTGCTATCTCCGTGATGAGAATCGAGCGTGCGAGAAATGTGCTGATTTAGAAGGGCTCACCTGCTGTCTGTTCCGGGTTCTCCTTTAGGTACGACAAAGAGTTGAGCAGAATGATATGGCAGTGCTTTCGCTGCTCCCACTGCCACGTTCCCTCCATTCCTCGGCTTAGCACCCCCACGCTTTCGGAGCCGACTGTGTGTGTGTGTGACAAAAAGAAAGATGGAGAAAATATCAAAGGGATGAAATTTCGTCGAGTGACGAGACGCGTTCGCGGCGGAACTATTCGCCCGGCTGATGATACGTACATCGCGAAACGACGCCGGACGGGGAATTTGTTTCGTCGGATATTATTTCGCATTTAGGATCATCCGAAGACATAATATGTATTCTCGTGTCGGCTGACGCCGATAGTAGCAGGATCCGCGTGATTCAGCGACGCCATTCACGGGAATAGACGGATCGATTTTGTATTTGCAGAGCGCTCGTTCTCGAATAAAAAGAAGGATACCGTGCAGAGGGATTCGCACGTTTTCTCGAGTCGCTATATTTAACACGGAACGAAAACCGCGCTGGCGAATCGTCGTTATTGACCGATTTCATTGCCAAGTTGAACGTGGCACTGTCCGCGCGATGGACACCGTTTCGCGAGGCGCGGAAAAAAGAAACAATGTCTCCGATCGCGCGTCACGAAAGGTGCAACTTGTCGGACAATCGCCGAATCGGGGTGCGCGTCATCATCGATTCGCTTCTCGGTTTTCTCTCGGTGGTCTCTGTCGCATGAATAATGCACATATTATATCCGCAATATTGCATTATATTATTTACTCATCATCGCGCGCAACATATTAAATCTAAATTTACTTAACACGCGGACAAACACAGGCACACGCGCGCGCGCATGTTCACCGTATTAGATGCACGTAATTGTTGATTGCAAATTACCGCGTACAATTTCGCGTATCTTGTGTACAATTCATGTACAAGTCACGATCATTCGCATAACTACGACTGGGGATAGCGAGTATGTGAGGGCCGAGTCGTAGTAAAATTTACACCTCAGGTACAATACGCCGGATAATTGATTCGTAAGATTTTTCAATTCGCCAACCGCGGCTCTGAAGTTTCCGGCATTTTTCGAAAATTTGCTCGTCGACCTTTCAGTTCTTCGTTAGATTCTGTCCTCCCTATGGTAGATTCCGTCAGATATAATAAGAATCGATAGTAAACTTCGAGGTTGTGCAAACTGTTGTTTCTTGATGGCTACAAATGGTTATCGTTTTTTCTCTCGAGACTTAGGGAACTTATTTCAGGATTATTTAATATTCGATTATTTCTCGATAGTATGTCTCTCTTAATTATGAATTTCTTTTAATTCTTATTTTCAACAAGCGACATATTGATTGACCCGATTGCTAGATAGAATATTGCAACAACCTAATATTAAATCTAATAAAAATTAACAGGTAAATGGATAAATAGAACAACAAGTTTTCCTCTTTTGTAATCTCTATTATTATTACTATTGAGGTAAAACGGGACAAAAAAGAAATAGTTATAAGCCAACTGCCACACAACACCTTACGTCCGTCTTGGAACAAGTCCCTCATTGTCATCGTGGCACCGTACGAATCGATCAGAGACACAGAAGTAACTAATGATTGTGCATTAATCTATGATTATTGTTGATTACTACGAACGATATTTTTTTCAATAGGCACATGCAACTGATGAACTGACTTCGACAATTTGATGATTTCTTTCGAAGATCCGGAATGTTTCGAGAGGAATAATCGCAGTGAGGTTTCTCGGTCACCGAGTGTTTTTATTATTATTTGCGAGTGATTCATGACACGATTCATTACAGGTGACTACGTCCTTGTCGTAGGTATCCAATGTTTGGTAATATCTCGCGTGTATTTGTCCGTTACCGAGTCATTATGTCTCGAGCCGGCGCGCGACGTACACATCGTAACGCGAAGCGCGTTGTTTACAATTTCGCCGTCGGGTGATTGAAATATTTTGCCGGCTCTTATCATCGGGTCGCGTTAATATGTGTTTCTTCGATCGAATCGTATCTAATCGTGTCCAGTGAGTGTCCTGTATCCGGAACCACGAAGCAGTCAAGTAGAGGGTGTGAAACGCTGGAACACGGGCAACGACATGTGTATCTTCGGGTATGTCAAATTATTTATTACACAATATGTTTCCGGTTTTGACGGTTTCGCATCGAATGCAACGAAATATTCGGATCGAAATTTAGGATTTACTTTAGGAAACAGCTTTTTCCGTCCTTATTTGACGTTTAACCTCATGAATCTCTGTTTATTATTTCGTTAATACCTGGAATATTTGTCGCATACAACTAGAAATATCGATTCAAACAGCCGAATATGAATCTGTATAAGTATGTTTTCAATCAAAGCTTATAGATAATTTACACAGTAAATAGCACACAAGTGTTATCTTTGGTTTCACAACTCTTACCTTTTTATCTTTTTAAAATATCCAATCTTATCGAAGTTGTCAATACCGATAAAATAATAAGAAAGAAATTTCTTTCTAGAAACATAAAGTCCATCCTATTATTTACCGATATTAATTAATGAATATTTTAATATCTTTATTTAATATTTGTTTATCACACACATGTATTTTATCTGCGATTGAGTAAATTGTATGATTAATACATCACTGAAATCAAGAATACAGATTAAATGCAATGGTAGAATATTGAAATAACCGAAAATATTAAATAATTCTTGAACAAATGTTCTTTCAATCCTCAATGTGGAGAAAACAGTGACTGACTATTTGTAGCATCCAAGGAGGATTACCGGGTCGTCTGCACAATATTGTCTCTAGATTTCTTTATTGATCCTTCAAATATCTGGTGGTATTTGCGGGATTAACGTGGAAGCAAAATTTCGACTCGGGAATTCGTTTAGTTCAGTTTGCAGAGGAGTGGCTTTTGCGATCGCGCGTCTAATCCCGCTACGATCTAATTCGTTTCCTTAACAGCACGTGGTTCGGCGAACTTTCGGTTAGCAGTGCTGCAGTCTCTTAGCCGCCTCATAAAATTTGAAGCACCGGCGTACGTGTTACGAGTGTGTTGCGCTGGTTCCGCGAGACGAGATTGGAAGCTAGCGCGAATTTTTAGGTCAATTTATAACTCCGTTAGAAATGAACTATATGCGCGCGCGTGCATTATTGATTACTCGCATTTGGCGATCTCAATTCTTGAGGATCGTTCAGTTTGACATACGTTTCGCGCGTTAACAAGAAGAGCGGAAAAGGGTGAAAAAAGGGGGCGAAAGGGAAACGAAATAGGAGAAGAGATGGCTCTGCAGGAGAGTATCTGGCAGTGAAGCTCGAGGATGCTCATCATCCAATTCCAGATAAGCTGTGGCAATTTCAAAAGTAGCAAGCTCGGGGCAACGTCGAGTCAAATCAAATCCCGCTTCTCCCCCTCCCATCCCTGTTTTCTTCGCTCTCTCACTCTTGTGGTTTAAATTAACACTTGCACGACGGTCGGCTAGATTGGCGGGGCTGTGTCTTATTGAATTTATGATAAATTGCTTTCGAAATCTCCATTCGTGCGCGGTAAGAGTAACATGGCGACAAGAAGGGCGGAAGGAAGCGAAGGAGGGGAAGAAAGAAAGAAAGAGGGAAAAGAGAGGAGAAAGTCATCTCCTTAGTTAAACTCGTGAAAGAAAAGGCCGCGAAAATCCCTCCGTAAATCAAGGTAACGAGCGCGATTACGATCGTGTTCGGCGATTCCTCTCGGAAGGGGAAGAATCCGTTGAATACGTTTGAAACTAATGCCTGCGATACGCAAGCGCGCGCATGGAGTGTACAAATCTGACGACGAAGGAGAGAGTGATCGGCATTTGCATGTGTTGCGAACACCCTCGTGTCTCTCACATCGTCGTTCTTGTCGGTATCGGGCAGACAGCGGGTCCAATCAATCGTGATGGGCAACGTAACTCTCTCGTGGCGCTGTTAGATATTTCTCAACATGCGATCCGTACACACGCGATAATTTCATTTCGTTATGTGATAGCGGTAATTTTTCGTTGTGAACCCACATGTAAACAGACCAGAGCCCCGTTTTCAATTGTATATAAAATTCAATTCTATATAAAGAAAAGTATCGGGAGAACCTACGGGGACGATTTCTCTTTCTTCCTTCCTTCTTCGTTTCCCACACGAGGGGGCGAATTTCCCATGATAGCAAACGTAATCAAACAATAGAGTAGAGTAGAGTCGTAAACGATTTTGATCAGATATCACGAGATTTTCTCCGTCCATCGCGAGACTTGAGTCGCTCGTTTATGAGAGAAAGTTAAACGCATCTTTCGCAAAGGGACGCGCGAACTGGGGATGGGGAGTCCATGGGGTGTCCCAGGAGGTTCGCGAAGGTATCGCGAAGGTCGAGAGAAGCAGTCGAGGAGCGTCGCTTTGAGGACAGGCACGTCGCAATTCTGAGCTATCCACTCATTGTTCCATGATATCGGATCTTCATTGTCCTAGCCTTGGATAGGTCACGAGTTTAATAACATCGGTTAGTGCCGTGCTCCCTAATATCGATTATTATGTGCTCCCGTAAGGGGTTGTTGTTGCGATAGCGGCTTATTTGCTCCACTGAATTAGCGTGGACAATAAGCCGTGGCGCCGGCTAAAGGACGATCATCGCCTACGCGATCGGGCTACCGAGGCTTCTTCCACCGAAGCTGAGGAATTTCCTCGGCGGCAGCCGCCGCCGCCGCCGTCGTTGGCAACGTCAGGTAGACGGCTCCGTCTACGGCGAAATTTCCTTCGCGATTTCGTACTTTCCCGACGCGACAGAAAACGACGTGAACGACTGGTCGTCGTTACGCGATGGCGTTGTTATTACAACGGTAATAACAAAATTACGACTGTACGGAAGATATATACGATCGGTTTTATTGCGATCCGTTCCACTTTTGCTGGCAAAAAAATTCCTAAGGACACATAAACATAAAACGCTCACGAGCGGGATAAAGCTACCATTCATTCTGCTGTTTGGATAAACGATACGTTAAATTTCATGTTCCCTCCATCTATTTCCATAAGCGAACCCCGACAGATACAGATAGTGCTAGCTAGTAGTATCGCCGTGCAGAAGACTATAAGGTCGATCAAGATATACGGCGAATTACAAGGGCCAGGCACATTTTAAGTTACAGCGTAGACTCCCGGCGAAAATCATCTTGCCAGGTATCACGCACAATCCAACTCGGAGTGTGAGTGCTGTGTGTGTGTGTGTGTGTCATATGATCGCGTCACATGTTTATCCTCATATCGAACTACATGAAATCGTAAAGTTCAGGTACGGCCGTTTCATCCACGGGGTGTCGCATTATGGTCGCCCTCGCGACGTTACATTCTCGCGGCCGGTCGTTACATAAATCGAACTTTCATAAAACGCAAAGTACGTTGGCGGGCTCATGTCGAGGGCCTTATCGATTTATAAGTTTATGTTCGTTTTTTTTTTATTTCCTTGTACGTATATATATATATATATATATAGTATATATATGTATATATATATATTTATACGGAAACGTGCACATCTCCGTCCGAGTGCGATGGAATGAAAATTTATTGCAAAATGTTCGGATATTAATTTGTAAAATAAAAAAATTCGCGGAAGTATCGTCGCTCTTGAATCTCGGAATTCGCGCTAAAAAAAGAACCGGATAAAAAGAAACAAACCTCGGCACGCAAATTTTTCTGCACAAATTGCAATCCCGTCGATCTGAATAAAAATCGAGTCAGGTTAACAATTCGACGTGGAATTTGAACTACAAAATTTAGTCAGCGGTGAAAGATTAATGAAAGGAAATTGAAAAGTGGAATGAAAGGAATTGAAACGATAGTTGTATGTACGATATAAATATCCTTTCGTTCACTAAAAGATTGATCTAACTCGCATTGTGCGAGTAATTCCACCGCTAATAAAAAATTAAGTAAATCAGATAATAAATATACAGCCAATAATGTGTGTTAGGTTAACTTTAAAATCGCTTCATCGAACTGAGTTTAGAGCTTATTTTGCGCGAACGAGAGATTGAAAAAAGACGAAAACTTCATTGAAAGAATTAAATTAGCTTCGTGATGTATAGCCTTCAAACTTAGTTCATTCATCTCGATTCGAGTTCCTTCGACGGTTCTCTTTTTACACTATAGTAGTTTCGAGAATCGCAAGACTTGGAAGTTTCGAAATTCGGGCATTTTAAAGCGTAGCATATCCGCATAGCTTGGCTCTCGTAGTCGGCATCTCGTAAAACTTGAAGGATGAAGTAACAGCCATATAATATATCTGGTGTATATGCGTAAAAGCGCGCGATATATAAATACATACTACTATAAATACATACACATACACACACGCATACACACACAATATATATATATATATATATATATATAATGTATATTTGCGCGATATTTGGTAAAACTTATTTTACGGCGCAACATGTAATCCTTGCACGTGCAAGCGCGATTCCTTGAGTTCCTAGAAATTGCGGCGGAATTGCCCGGCGTAATATCGAAATTGCACGTCGAATAGGTTGCTACGAATCGATTGCGCGGAAATAGAAGCCGCTCTAATTCGTGCAGTTCTCGTGGGCGCAACATCTGTTTCTTCAGACGCCCTCCAAGCGATTCGGGCGGTTACCAACTTACAAAGGCGAATCTCGCGCGCCGATATATGCATTACAGTAACTCGTTGATTAATGTAACGTTCGTGCAGCAAACGTACAATTAATAAATTTGTCGACTTGTCGATCAAATCCCTCATTGTTGTTCAGAGACTTTATCAACGTGCGAATACTCTAGCGTATCATATGTATCGCGTCCGCTCGAGTTTTTCATCGCGAAACAAAATCGCAGGACATCGTTTTGCATCCCATTTTCGCGAAGTTTGCCAGTTCGCCAGTTTGGGATATCACGAAATATCTTTTCGAGACATCTCTATAATTTCACGCTTATAGATATGCATATATTACATAGAATATTTACGCAGAAACGTATACATCCGTCAGAGAATGCGATGGAATTAGAATTTATCGCAGCTTCGTTATATTCGTCGCGATCGGAAAAGGCGAGATTCATTTGCAGAATGTATATTTCACGTAATTCTCTTGCTTTATTCCTCTTTATTATAAAAAGTTGATAAGAAATCACCGGTATCACTGCAGTCGTTGTTCGTTTTGCGAAATCGAATGCACGACGAGTCATGCCGTGCAGATCATATTGCTGCTGAACAACGGGCTATTTCATCCGGCATCATTGTCGTCACGCTCCTTGACAGCCACGAAACTCTCGCGAAACTTCCGTAATGAAACCAGGCCGAAGAAGATGAAACTCGCGCTTCGACATGGATCCTGCCTCCCTACGCTACTCTCCCCTTCCCCCTGCCTCTGTCTTTCACTCACTCACTTTCTCTCCTTCTCTTTCTCGAGCTCACTATCTCAAGCTTCTACGCGCGCTGACGCTTCTCTAGGCATGAGAGTACAACCGCTCGCGCACTCCTCGATTCAATTACATTAGAGAGGATGTCAGGGATCTTTCTGCCTTCCTAAGCGCCATGATGGTGTTTCCTGCTTTTACCTTCTCGAACTCGCGTACTCTTTCCTCTTTATTTCTCTTCCTCTCTCCTCCCCCCCCTCTCTCTCTCTCTCTCTCTCTCTCCTCTCTTTCTTTCTCTTTCTTTTTGTCCCTGCTCGTTTTTCTTCACTTGGCCTTTAAAGTGGCGCGCAAACGCACGATATTATAAGTCAGTCTCATAAAGAAATATATCTCGCCGGCGCCGCCGCCATACATTTACCGACATATTCCGTCTTAAACTTTCTATATACATAATTTACGTCATACCGGTTGGTAAATGTATGAATTCGGTTGAGTGGAGCTGTAGTAAGCGTTCGAGTCAGTCGATTCCTGATTGACGATATTTCTCTTTTTCGAGAGGAGAGCGAGATGTCTGACCAATACGAGTTTCTACTACTTGCGTTTTAGCGGCATTAGCGGTAGCGACACTGTCGTAATTATTGTCTTCCTACGATTCTCCTTTGCTGGACATTATTCATTTGTAATGTAACAGCGGTTATATCTGACGATCATTTCAATCGTAGAAATGTTTAACATTACGCTGCAAGATTAAGCGCGCGCGCTCCACGCGGCAACAGCGGCGGCAATGTAATTTTAACATCGAGTCTCCCTGCATATACACGCGATTCTTTCGTCGCAAGACATTCTTGGGACAGGCTGCCTCAAATAAACGTGGCATTATCGATACGAAAAGAAAAAGCAGACGGGGTTGAAATAGCCCGACCGAGTGCAAAAACCGCCGACATTGTCCTCTAAACACTTGGAAATTCCACGCGTCGTCCGACGCGACTATACGTACATCTTTTTGTCCTCGTTGCGAAAAGCAGGCATAATTTCGGAGAAGGGGTCACTAACCCCTATACTGCGATAGTGGGAGGCACTTTTGCTCCTTCCAGGCCAACTGGACGGGTCGAATGATTAATGGGCAGACACTGAAAAAAAAGCTTTCATCCATCTTTCGACTCTCTGTCCTCCTACACTCACACACACACACTCTCTCTCTCTCTCTCTCTCTCTCTCTCTCTTTCGCCGCCACTTTCCTTCTCTCTTCTCGCTTGCCTCGCGTCCGTTCAAGGACATACAGTCGGAGAACGGAGTAAAGAATAAAAATGGCAAAAGACGAATAGACAAATTTATCGCAGGGGTTTGGCATCATTTGCAGGGTACGTTTGACAAATTTTGGATTCCCTTAACTGCTCGAGTTCATTTCCCTTCCCCTGGCCTCGTTTCCTACGGCCGTCTCCCACCGGCGTTTATCCGTAGATGATGGATAGTCGTGAGAAAATGAAAAGCCGCTTTTGATTTATCGCCGACCGATCATCCCGCCCGCGCGCGTGCGCTATCTTCGGTGAGAACATAACACATCGCGAGACTTAGTAAGGAGCCACGTTCGAGAGCATCGTTCGCAAATTATCCCGCTGCGAGAAGCGCCGTGTTAGAAACTCCAAAAGGATAGTGTGTAATCGCTCGTGTATTAATTATCGCGCAGCCTCGAGAAATTGCTTCGCGAGTAATATTCGGAAATATATTAGCGCAAGCAGTCGTGTCGGAATGAAGATTTAATCGACGCGGCTGGGATCCGGCTGGCAGCATAATTTTTAATTATTCAAACTGTCTAATTACACTTCGAAACTCTGCATATATTTACGTTATTATACCAATATTTCTCCTTCGCGGCTAATTATACCTCTTCTCCCAGAGGAGGCGTGGGAATACGCAGTCGGATATCGTTGAATTTGTTAAGGAAGGAAAGGAGAAGCAAGAAAAACAAAAAACAATCGGCGCATTAATTTAATGAGGGCGGTATCTCGCCGAGTGTGATGTATCTGCGTTCTTACAACGAGATCCTTTAGAAAATTGCCGTCATTAGTAGAGGAGAATAAAACGCGGTGAGATCGCTAAAGTGATCTAGGATATTATCTTGGCGTATTTAGTACAAGTGTCCGTATCAACCGACTCGCTCTCACCAGCGCCTTCGCGTAGCGACTTTAAGCCGCGATGGTAATTTGTCTACATTTGCATTTTCTTTCGTAATATCATATCTATCGTACGCGAACGCATCGCGAACGTATTCCGAGAGGTGGAACGGTTTCTTCGGGTTCTATCGCTTTTTCCGCGGCTTTGGTGTCTTTCTCTTTTTGTGTGTCATGAATTCCCTAAGAATAAATTTTTAAACTCGCTATTTTATAGTAATGTTACTGGTATTTGAAAATTTTTACGTTTTCATTCTATTTTATCCTCGTCGTTCTCACCCGTGATTTAAATGATCCCGTGACCGGAGACCTTTGTAATCGCTCGTTATCGAGTCGTATTAATCCGATTATTGGAAAGAATGTCATTTAGGGGAGATGTCGAACTCCGAAGGATTTTCACTCGTTACAATTCTCGCGATGACGGCGAAAGCGCAATAAGTCTCGCGGCACCGCCCCGGCGATCGAAAACGAGAATCTAATTACCCGAAATGCATTTGAAAAGAGTCCCTGAAAAAGCGCAGCCGAAGTCTGCTGGCACCGCCCAATCCTGGTATCCCGCAAAGCAGCTCCCATTAATTCGCGAAGGAAAAAAACAACCTCGCGGGCGCGATATTTTGTCGGCCTAATAGCTCGAACATGTCCTCGCACCAGCGGTGTCGTTCTATTTCGCTTCGAGCGCCCACGCATCGCAAAAGTCGAGTCGCGCGAATAGCGACGTTCGTTCCGCCAGGCAGCCGTTTTTCCGTCTTTTTTTCCTTTTTCTCCTTCATGCCCCTCCGTCGAATCCTCGAAACAATCGACCGAGCTGAAACCGCGTGACGCCTCGCCCTTATTCCCGGCGATAATACCGCGATTATTTTTGTCGAGAGTCATTTCACGCACTAAAAGATATCACCCCCGCGAATTCGGCTCTTTACGATCTCCTTCTGGCGATCTTACGATCTCACATCCTTCTCGCCTATTTATTCCTGCGCGGGCGATCCGCGAGCGTATAGCAGCGCGCACGCTGGCTGGGGCTTTTCGTCAGTAATTCTTGCCGCGTCCGCCGGCGTATATCCACCCCGACACCCGAGACTTGAGCGCACCACCCTCACGGAACATCCATCCTGCGCCCTGTCCTGCCGCTGACCGCTATTTTAGCTGCCGAGCGACACGACCAACTTCGCTTACACGTCCCCGTGACGGGCGGACGGGGCGGTGCAGCTACTTATTAATGGGTAGACTTGTTGCTCCCTCACGGTATCGCGACACAAACACGCGCGCACACACAAACACACGTATTATGCAGTCGCGTTCCCGCAGTAACCCGCGATCGTGCCTCGCAGATTTCGACGAGGTTTTCTCTCGTAGCGCTTTTCTCTCGTAGCGAGGAGAAGCAGAAGGAGGAGCTGGAAGAGCAGCGAAATTTAAGATTTCAGCGCGCAAGATTCATAATTCCGCGAGATAATATATAAGAATTTCACGGTCGAGGAAATAAACGAACCGTAAGTCGTTTCCTTCCGCTCGAGCGCCGTCTCTCTTTCTCTCTCTTTTTCTTTGTCGTACTACTAGAACCAGCCGGAGTCACGCGCTCTCGCGCGCACGCATTTCCCGTACGTTGCTTGCAACAGAGTCAAATGTATTTTTCATGAAGTAGTATAATAAAACCCGCAGCAACGAAAGCAAATAGCAGTAAACCCGCTAGCTCGTGTAAAGTGTTACGCGGCTCACTCGCCGAGTTGCAGCGATCATTCCGCGTCAGCTCCGCGTCTGTGCGAGGAGCGCGATGAGAGTTACCTCCGTGTAATGGATTAACGTCGTTTCATTAGTTAGTCGCCAAAGCGCCTATCGCGCGGCGCTAGCAAGGATCGCTTTTGTCCTGGCCGTCGCTGCAAAAAGATCGACTCTAAATACACCTCCCACTTCCTCTCCCCGGATATTGTTCCATCAATTTTCTTGCGCTCCGCGTACACAGCAACACAACAGCGCAGCACGCGATCGTGATTTATATGAGAAACTCCGTCAGGGTGTACAACGACGACGTTTCGATATAAGGGAGAAAGGACGATTGATGGCACTTTCCTTCGTATTCGCCGAACAGATGCACGGAAGTATGCGAAAAGTACAATGCGAGGCGGTTTCTGAATGTCTATCTCGACATTGTCGGTATCTCGGTAACTATCGGAGCGTCAAGCATCTTCCCTGACATGGCAGGGAGGGAGAGGCAGGGGGGGGGGAGAGAAGAAGGAAACCGGTCGAGATAATTGGCCGTCGGAGACTTTTCGCGGACGGACAGAGGCAAGGAAATTTTTTTCGGCGGGAGGGAGCGATCGTAGGACGGGAAATACGACCGCCGGATAATTGGAAATGATCCATCGACCGACCCAGCAGCGCGCCGCGACGTATTAATTTAAAATGGAACCGATCTGAATTATTTCCGTCCTATTACCGAGGGGATTCTCGCGACTCGACTCGACTGCGCTCGAGGCCGCTGGATGCGCGAACAGACGACTCGAATGGCAGTTGTTAATCGCGTCGTCGTCGTCGTCGTCGTCGTCGTTGTCATTCACGATATGTCCGTGTGCCCGTCGACGAGGAATGAACTCGAAGGAATGAATTTCGAGCTCGGGCCTTGGAGATTGACGACTGACAAATCCACCAATGACGTTCGCACAAAGATGCGATGTACCTAAGACCGCTGGAAACTTTCGGTCGTACGCATCGTTTATTATTTATTATATGTTTATTATATGTCGATTATTCGAGAAAACGACCTTAGGTATCATCATTCTTAAGCAGAATTTATAACATAAAATCCCACGTAAGAATATAGATATATTGCTTATATCTTTCTAAATAATGACCAAATGATGCATGTGATAAAAAAAATCGACGACGCTTGACTCAATGCATGTTAAGACTGTTACGCTGGTCTGCGTAAATCGGAATAAACGGCCGGATCTTATACGCTATCGTGAACTATAAGGAGAAAAAGAGAAAACAGAACAGAAGGATCGCGCAACGGACGGTCATAAATAAGAGATTAAAGGAAACGTTGAACTCGCGCAACGCGACTCTGCGTTGGCAGCAACGACACACGATATCGCGTAGCAAATTTTATCGCCGGTCTGTATCTCTCATCGAGCGCGCTTACTCCAGGATGATGTATATTCCAAACATCAAAAAGAGAGAAAGAGAGAGAGAGAGAGAGAGAGAGAGAGAGAGAGAGAGAGCAAACTTTATTTTTCTCCGCTATATTATATTCTCTGCATTTTACGTTTAACGATAAGCGCAGCGAACTGTTTTTATCGTCCACTCTCGCGCTCCCGAAGGAACCCGCCGTCTCACCATCGGACGAAAATAAGACTCTCTTCGCGCCGCGACGGGCCGGGCGATTTAACGTTAAATACGCGTCGCTATTACGTGACTTGCTCCTTGTCATTAGCGCGGTTCTTTCTTGAGCCTTTAAAAACAAGCTCCGCCGGCGAAATGGAGATAATGTTTCGCCAGTTACGTGGTCACGTCGAAGCGATAATGCGCTAATGGCTTACGTTGCATAATCAGAAGACCTTAACGGCAACTACCGAGGCGTGAGAGAACAATCGAGACGGCGACGCGAAGACGCCGTGGAAGGTGTACGCTTGGCTGGAAAATACCGAAAACGTGCCCGAGGATGGCATTAAAAAGCTCTCTCCTGTCCCTCCCCCTATCTCCCACCCTCCTTTCTCTCTTTCTCTCTCGCCAATCTTTTCCTTTCTCACGGAGCACATAAGGGGAAATGTAGCGGGAGAGAGAGAGAGAGGGGGAGAAGAGAGAGAGAGAGAGAGAGAGAGAGAGAGAGAGAGAGAGAGAGAGAGAGAGAGAGAGAAGGAAGTGCCGAATGTACGTGGTGTCCTGGAACTGTCACACCGTATTTCAGACTGTAATTCCCTGATGAATGTGCAATTGACTTCTCGCTCGGCGAAAACTCGATAAGTGACCTAATTACCGGGAATACTTAACATTAAATATTAGCTCGCGAGAGAATGTACGCGAGAACGCACGCGCGCATACATTGAAGTACTTTCGAAGCTCGGTGAGCTCGGTGTGTAATTCTTCCCATCGACGAGGACGAGCGGAGAGACTCTTCACGCGGATATCGCACATCCTTCTTTTTAATTCTCGCTTATCAATCATTTATCTTCGCGCGATCACATCGATCGCGCACGACGCGATAACAAGGTACGAAAGATTGCATTCCGTATTCTCTTCCTCCCCCTCTCTCTCTCTCTCTCTCTCTCTCTCTCTCTCTCTCTCTCTCTCTCTCTCTCTCTCTCTCTCTCTCTCTCTATCTCTCTCTCGGAATCGTTTACGTCGTCTTAGAAAAATGTCATCGTTCCGCAGCGACGAGCGCCATTTCTCCGAGTCAATCGCCGGCGCTGGTCATTACGCGATACATATCGACGCGATGAGGTTTTGGGACACCCTATAAATACACACATGTGTACGTGTATGTGTGTGTATATATCGATTCGACTATACGGGGCTAAGGGACAACGGGGAGGAGGTGGGACAGCAGGCGCCATGGCGCCCTTCTCTTGCAACCCCTCCAGACAACAACGATCGAATATAGCTTCGCCGATATGGGAGCTAATGAACCAATTACACGTAATAGGACCGCCGCCTTAGAGGAACGATTGTCTCCCGCTTTCTCGGCTGCTTCAAGGACTCTCGCTATGCAAACAATGCCCTCGGCGGGGGACGTTGCGACGGTACCTGCACTCGATCGGTATCGAATCGCGCTTTTAATTGGAGTCGAGTATCACATCCCGTCGCTCGGCGGGCCGAGTGAAAAAACGACGCTTCTCTCCGTTTCCGTGCGTAATGCATAATGCTGTTTATTCGCGTTGTCAATGAATTAATCGGCGATGAACGCATTGGGCGATTTTCGTGACCAAACCGGCGGTATTCGCGGTAATACTGACGTAACGTTAACGTAACGTAATGTAATTATCATCATTCGCGAAGAGCTCGTTGAAAATGCCACGTATCAATATCCTCGCTCGAGATTTCGCCCGATCCGATTATCGATAGATCATTCCGGGCCGAAAGCTAAAATGCTTCAAGTGCGGATTAGTCCGAGACCATAATGATATTCTTAACGCTCGGCAAATCGGATCTCGTGATGGAAAATTCGTGTCCCCCTGTGGAATATTCGTCGTCGTCGTCGTCGCCGTCATCCTCGTCGTTTTCGTCATTCGTCACACTTACGGTTTTCGCGTTAATTGCCGGTTCGAGATCTCCCCGTGAATCCCGCGAACGGCCGAGAATCACCCTCACGCGATTTCTCCGCGATTTTGAACCCGGCCGGCGGCACACATCGCAGCACATATTAATTAGCGCTCTCGCGCTAGAGAGGGACGAATAAACGACGGCTGGGGATGAATCTCGAGAGCTCGCCGCGAACGAACGCGCGAGTGAGTGAGAGAGAGAGAGAGAGAGAGAGAGAGAGAGAGCCGAATAAATTAAGCGACGAGCAAAAAATCCCGATAGCTCTCCTTCCTTTCGCGCGTATGCGAACGGATTCGCCGGAACTTAACAATCTTACGCACACGCACGGGAACGGACATCTTTAAGCCGCAGGGATTCCAAGGTGTGTTACTTTTTATGTCTCTGACGTTCCGGTAGGATCTTTCGCGGTAAAAAACGGCGCGCGCGCTCCGCACTGTCTATATTCCTGGCAACACCGGGAGGGTGGCATTTGGACAGATGGAACACAATATACAGATATACGCTGCCTATACGGTGGCTCTGTAACTACTCACTCCGTGTAAGGAACTGCCTCGTGCTCCTCGCGACGATATTAGTCTCATTAATCAAAGTCGCGAAGCTTCCAGGGATTTTGGAATCCCGACTAGTGTCGAGCCAGAGCTTTAACGCGATTCTTCCCGTTGTTGTTGAGCCACATTTTCTTTGTACACAAACTTTTTATCGGAGAATCTGTATAATTCTTTACAGGTGCAACAACATTCTGCAACAACATTCGTCGAAATCTCAACGTTCATCGTGATGATGAATGAGATGGAGACATCTCGTGTGCCTCTTCCACCGAATCCGATTCGAATCTTTTTTTCTCAAATTTTTACGAAAGAATTTTTGTAATTTTTTATTTGCGGAATGAAACAATATTGATCGAAAGTGGCAACTTTGACGTTTCTCGCGGGGAACGTTAAGACAAATTTCACGACGAAGCAAAAAACCGATTATTACTTTATCACGAAACGATTTTCGCCTCGATTTAATTTATATAATATTTCTTTACTGACCGAGAGCCGTCATCGTTATCTCGTCTATACTATATATTTATTAAAGCCCCGGTACGAAGCACTCTGTCAAGATTTTCTTTCACAGACCGCCGACTACTTCGCGATTCTCAAAAACGCAGCCTCTTCTCGAATGCATGTTTATTTGCACTCCAACATTTTGACGTGTAGCGGCCCACATTGGCATTTGTGCGTGACGTCAATGTCCGTTCCCCTGCAGGGGTTAAACGACGTCAGACTTCGGTCTGGATCTACCGACGGTCTGGATTTTGCGGGCAAACTTTCATGTTCGTTTGTTGTCGGAGCCAATATGTGCACGGCGCGCTTTATCGCGTCGATTAAATGGGCAACTTTTTCACCGGCGCGACGGCGTCGGATCTCGCGCGCGGGATGATAATCTTTGTATAACTAGCGCACCACGCTCGTTCTCTGGGAGTGTTTCCGGAGAATAGGCGCTTTCTTTCTCTTCTTTTTCTCTCCGCCATTAGCAATCCACGCGACGACCGGCCGCGGATCAGGCCGACGCGTTGTTACGCGTCTCGACGCTCGCTGCGAGCCACTCCGGTTGATGAAGTTTCCGAATGATCTCCATTGAGAACGGTGAGTCAATCGGGCTCTTAAACGCTCCTTCATATAGCCCTACGGAAGGGCGGATATATTTAGGATATTGCCTCGTGACCATGCGGCCTACAGCTACTCTCCGAAATTAGTAATCAAGTTCCATTTCTCGATAAAGCGTTTAAGTTCGGAGGTACGGAGGTTACGGCGCGCGCAAGACGCTCCCCGTGCTTGTCGTCTATTCATTCTACGCGATTTTCAGACATTATCGATCTAATCACGCCTACGGAGATAAGCCGCGTATTATACAGCAGCCGCGCCGCATATGCCTTCCTGAGAATCCGCGTGAAAGGTGGCAGTGTCAAAGCAGATCGCGCGAGTCGCGTAATAATATAGCCTCTGCGAGCGGACGCGCCTTGCATTATACGAATCCGGAATGAACTGGAATAAGGAAGCAGGGCGGGAATTTGTATTTCGAACACGACCGTCCGCGCGAGACGCGAACGCGAACAAGTCTCTCTCTCTCTCTCTCTCTCTCTCTCTCTCTCTCTCTCTCTCTCTCTCTCTCTCTCTCTCTCTCGAGCGCGTAGAGCGGAGCCGCTCTTTTTCATACGAATAGAACGGATGAAAAATAATATAGCGAGTGCGTAGTTGCGATCGATCGCCCGCGTTAATACATCCCACATCGTACGAGAGATACGTCGACCGACCGACCGTCCCGCCATTGAATTCAAGATAGTAGTACTGTGCGCGCGATATTCATACCCGCGGCGAATAAAATACGCGCCGAGTCGGGCGACTGTTTAGTGCTAAATCTGGGACATTGATACATGCCGATATCCTGAGGCTCCCGCGTCCCGTT